CACACAGGGCTCAAGCAGTACCATAATGAGCTTTTGTGAATGTCTGTATCCATGAGAGGTTCCACAGCACAGTGTAAGTATGGAGAGCAATGTGTTTGCTTGATAATGAGGCAAACTTCAAGACATGACTGGAAAGCAGAGAGAGAGCCAGGGAGTCCATGCGACAAGCATCTCCATCTCACAGGTGGAGTCCTAGTTCTGGTTTTATTGTAAAACTGCCTTAAGATGTCTGTGCGTTTGGATTTAATGAATGTCCTTGTGGGAGAGGCATATTTTTTAAAGTGAAAGGATATCTGAAGTGGGGACTTGCTATATTTTATTGATGATAAAAATGTGGTGTATGCGGAGAATATCTAAGAAATCCAAGCAGGCACTATATGTTGTGGCACTGCAAATGTCACAAATCTGCCAGAGAAGTCAAATGACTCTGACTATGCATAAGCACTAGTAATTAAGATGATTAATGGCCGCCTCTGAACTAACGGCAAAGGCGACTGACTTCCGTTTCCCACCAGCACTGTTTCGGATATTAAAGGGTTATGCACTGAAGTTCATCGCTCATGTTCTCTTGAACAGATTCTGACAGCATCCTTTCAGACCACCATTTAGGGGTAAGTGCAACTCAAATCAGATTGTTCTTTTGTGTGCGAGAGTGTACCTGTCCTCCCCCCATCTCCATCTCGCTGTCTTTAGCTTCAAAGTGCCTGATCCTGCTCTTAGGCCAAGATGATGGTTTACACTACAATGTGCAATCAGTGGAATACCCGTTTTCATGGTTTATCTCTCCCAGGTGGGGTCCTGCTCTGAAAAATGCCAGTGCTCAAATGCTCCATTCGTCTTCATGGACAATATACTCTCATATAAAGGGTTTGTATGTAGTATATGAATCCTTCTTTTTTTCTTCTTCTAAATCTATACTGATCTGATCGCATGAACATTACTGTTCTAATGTTTGAGGTCAGTAAGGTTTTTTTTAATACTTTTATTTGGAAAGGATTTCATTGACTATAAAGATATTTATAATGTTAATAAAGAATTCTGTAATTGTAAATAAATGCTGTTTTCCCTGAACTTTCTATTTATCAAAGAATGCTTAAAAAAAATCACAGTTTACACAAAACAGTTATTTTAAATTGTAATAATATTTCACAACATAACTGTTTAACTGTATTTTTGATATATTAAAAAATGCATCCTTGGTGAGCATAAGAGACTTCTTTAAAAAACATTTAAAAATCTTACCAACCCCAAACTTTTGAACTGTAGTAACACCCAAAAAGGGTCAAAAGGATTTTTTAAAAAAAATTCTAATTCAAAATTTCTAATCGATTTTGTTTTGTTAAGTAAAATAAATATCAGCTAAACATTGCTGTAAAGTTACAAAAAAGACAAAATAATATAGAACAATATAAAACAAATATAGTCATATATTGTAGCTAAAGTATGAACATTGCACAATATACAAAATATGCATATATACTCTAAGTATACATATAACTTGTATATACAGATACATTTAAATTTCTGTATTTCTTAATATTTGGCTTGGTTTTATTTAATTTTTTTGCTATTGCTTTATTGACAACTCTGACCCTTTACAATAAGGCCCTAATTAGTAAACGTTAGTTAATGTACTGACTAACTATAATAAAAAAACTGTTAGTTCATGTTAGCTCATGTTGGCTAACAGTTCGTTCATGTTAGTTAAATAATAAATACATATAGAGCTGTTCATGTTAGCTCGTGTCCATTAAATAATATATACAGATACAACTTTTGATTTAAATAATGTATTAGTAAATGCTGAATTTAACATTAACTAAGATAAATAAATGAAACATTTACAAAACATTTTCACTTTAAGTTCATGTTAATTAATGTAGTTAACTAATGGAACCTAATTGTAAAGTGTTACCATGACAGCAGCACGTGGGCTTCCACTGGTTCATGACTTTTGCACACAGAATCAATGTCACAAACTTGCACAAACCTCACACATTCTTATTTTTAAAGACTGTATGTAAGACTGTATGTAACACTCCTTCGTTCCTTTAAATCTCATATTTTCAGTGTGGTCTCAAACACTTAGACCCCACCGTACATGTCACGCAAGATGGGCCCTTTATGCATGAGTTTATACGACTATAAATGGTTGCATAAACGCCTGAAGACATGACATAACACAATAAAACCTCATAAAATATAATTTTCTCCTGAGCTAGACTGCCTACCGCAATAACGAGCCATGCTAAATGATCGCATCATCAGTCAACGTTACACGCGATTCGAAACTTCCCATTTAGAATCTGGAATCCAATCTTGTAAAACACAAATGCTTACCATACCTATTTACCGTGGCCTTTCATATGCTCCTGGGGCCAGCTGAATACGTGACAACCCTGGCATTTATTTTGTCAACATAAATGATGAATCTTTTCACATGCTGAGTGAAGATGAATCACGTCTAGTGAGGCAGAGTGCCTGAAGGGACTCACGCTGTCTGTTTTTACTGTGTAAAGGTATTAGAAATGTTGGATGGTTGAATTATAACCACTCCAGTCGACTTCATTCGAGGGCCGTGTCTTTAATAGGCTCGTTATCCATAGAAGTACAATAAAAGTGATCATGAGGATTAGAGGATAATAGGTATAAATGCACTGCTGTTGTCATAATATCCAAACTTTGCTATAATTAAAAGCCCAGTGCGAACAAACACCATTGTAAATGAATAAAAAATAAACACAATTAAACGGAATCAGCAAATTGCATCGCAAGCAGCTGTGAGACCAGCGGACAGCTGGCAGACACCCCGACTGCTCTGACCATGAAAGAGTAGTCGTATCTGATTCTGTTTGGATAGCCAGGCTTTAAAGACCAATGCTAAGCAGTACCTAGAGAACTGAGTTGTCCAGTGCACCACAGCCATATTAAACAGTTATGGAAGCAACTCAAGCGGAACTTTCTACTCTCGATTCCTCAGCCGAGTTCAACTCTTAGACCACTCCTGAGAATTCCCATCTCAGCATTAGCATTCTCAAGGTGTCAGGCCAATGTTTACAGTCTTAGCTAAATTGACGCTGGATTTTCTCGACTTGATGCTTGCTGGCCCTACCGAGCGCACCAGCTCACCCATTACTCTCCCCTTTGACGGTTCTGGGTTACACAAGGCTGTTATCATTAATGTCCCTGTGAGGCGACCCCACTCCCCGATTACTATGGTTCCTCCGAACACATCACCCTTCCACCAGGCCGGTGACTGTACATTAATCACTCTCTATAAGGGCTCATACTGCAGCCTGACGATATACACCCAAGTGCCAAGTTGTGCTGGGGTAAGCATGTTTTTAAAATGAAGAGTGCTCTATTGGATATTGAAGGAATGGTTGCCGCCTGAACGCTGGTGGATATTGTGGGCACAGGCTTGAGAGCCGATCGCAGCAAAATGCTCATATCTAAATCCGCGAGTAAACAAAATGATTGACTCATGCGCAAGCACTTGGACACGCACGCCAACACTCCACCGACTTGCTGTGTAACAAGCACATCTGTCATGTCAATGACTGACAATGTTCCCTCAACACCTCTACAGGCTGGAATCAAAACAAACAGATCTTAGACGTACAGTATACGAGGAACATTTCTAAAAGTATTGAGAATAAAATATAAATGATAAAAACAGATCGTGCAATTACTGCGAAGATTCGATTTTGTGTTCCCGCCTCAGCGCAAAAGTTGCAGCCAGAATGAGAACAACAAATAAATCTTCCTCTACACAACCACGTTCATGTGAATAAAACCATTGATTAGTCTGATAACAGTTATAGTCAATCAAAGTTTGAATGCAGTGGGGGGAAAAAAATGGTAATTGATCGAATCAATGTGCCATTTTCTTGTATGATTTGTTTCTGCAAGTCCAATTTCCCCCCCGACATCCTTTCTCTTACCGTAACAGCAAAACAAATTCCATAGATAAAGCATATCCCCGCATAACATGTGCATACACACACACACACACACACACGTACAATGGCAATGAAAAGCGACAGAATAAAGGGACGGCTGAAATCTTGCTGAAAAGAAGTGGGAAAGAATAGAGGAACTGTATTAGACGCAGGACAGAGGGGGAGTGGGGAAAAATAGCAAAAGCTTAAAGCGGCAAAAACACCCAGCGGGAGCCGAACAGAAAATTTAAATGAGACTTCTGTAGCCAGCCGGGCCACTGAACTATCCATTAAATTCAGATTATGGGTTTCTTTCCATTTTTTATTTATTTATGTTTTTAATCATCCAGCCAAGGTTTGTCTGATAGTCAAACTAAAGCTGAATAATATGCATATTGATTGTGATCAGTAGGAGACATGGGCTTTGTGCATTTTATTAATGCAGACATGTGCCAACTGTAGCTCTCAACGATTAGGAACGCATATACATTACAACACCCACCTAGATGAGAGCATCATTTTTGGCACAGCATGGATGCGTTTCTTTAAATGCATCACCTGACATTTTGCCGACCTTGAAAATTGCATTTGAAAAGCATTGTGTTTTTTAAACGTGTTCTAATTGCATTACTGGTCCTGTGTGTACTATCAACATTCAGCACGCTGGCATATCTGCATCTCCGCTCTTCCGTTCTAAACCATTTATTTGTGCTTGTTATTCCGCACTGTGCTTATTTTGAAGCCGGATGAAACTGGTTTTAGATCACTGTTATCACCTTTTGAGGAATCATACAACTAATATAAAATTACTGCATAGGTACTGAAGAATATTCAACAAGATCTCCTGATTATTTGGGAATTATTGTCTATAATTATGCAATAATAAAGCTAGAATAATTTTTTACATATTAAATTTAGCCAACACACAGAAAGAGGGAGAGAAAGTGATGCACAAGTATTTACATTCACACCCACAGACCTGTTGCTAAAGCTCCACTGAGATTAACACACATACATTTAAACCTGCGCCGAATCGCGCAATGCACTGCAAGCTCTTACCTTTGTGAATGTTCAGGCCTTGCAGCACACCCCTGGGGACAAATACGGTGTAGAAACTCTGGGAGAAACCTGGTGTGCATGGAGCGTTTCCGTGACTCCCCTGAGAAAGACAGACATTATTGGCTATGAAGACACAGGAGAGAAGAAGTGGTTAGGCAAATTGATTTGTGACCACAGGGTTGTGGTTCTTATTCAAGGTTATCGAAACCGATATAAATACCTTCAGGAGGCAAACTCACAGAGTAGGGATGCAGTCGTTTTACTGTTAGAGAAGAATCGTTGTTCTATAGACAAGTTTAAGCCTTTTTTTGGTCTAATGTACCCTCCACTTTGCCTTTAGAAAGGCTCAAGCAACCTAATCAACAGTAAACTAGAAATGTGTTTCTTTAAACTGGATACAATTGAGCTTTTATTATTTATATTATTAAAACTTCACTTTTAATAAATTGGATCATAATCACTTTTAGTCAGTCAATAAAAGTAATTGAAAATAAAATAAAATAAAATTGGGAATAATACAATAAATGGAAGAAAACATTATGTTATGAATATCATCCGTACAAAACTAGCACAATTGTTTGGGTTTTGGTTTAAACCAAAAATGTGTTCCTTTTTAATGGATATAATTTATCTTTAATAGTAATAATATTAATAAGTCAGTTTTCATAAATGATATAATAATCACTATAGTCTGTCAATATCAGTAATTAATATCAGTAAAATCAATAAAATCAAATAAAATATGAAAAAAAAACAGTTCTAACAAAGCAATATCTCAATCTCTTCAAGCACCCCCTGTTACCTGCTTAAATACCCTCTGGAGTGTGCACATACCCCTCGTTGCATATTACTGCTATAGTCCTGTACAGTGTTTGCATATTCAATGCCTCCATGAAAATAAACACATTCATAATCAAAAACGGCAAATCTCTTAATTCGCATTCAGAGGTCTGCATTCCCTAATGGTGGTTTTAAAGAAATTTACACGAGTGAAAACATCAAGAGCTTCTCTAAATTTTAACAAGAGCTAAACGAGCCTGTTTGATGATTAAAACAAACCGAGGGAGAAAATGGGGATGCGATGGAAGACAGGAAGTGCAGAGTAAAGAATGTTGTGCTGGAGTTCTGCCATGTAAATCAGTAGAGAGACTGTGCCCATTACAGTGGCATCTATTTTAGGATAGTGACCTAGTGTGCGTGTGTGTGTGTGTGAGAGAGAGAGAGAGAGAGAGAGAGAGAGAGAGAGAGAGATAGAGAGAGAGAGAGTGTATGTGTATGCATCAATGGATAGTGCTCACCACTGAGATTTAGCATAATTAGAAGGTGGGTCATATTCAGGTTATCTCGGTCTCAGTATGGTGGGCTTTTCTAAAACGATTCAGGGTTCAAGCTCAGGCCTCGGCTGTGTCTACACTGAACGAGAAGTTGCCTTTAGGGGTCTCTCTCTCTCTCTCTCTCCCTATATTTTTCCATTCTAAAACAGACAATTATGAACCTGAAAAATCAAGACAACAAAGAGCCGATGCACTAAGCTCTTTCATATATCCACGGAGGAACAGTCAGTGTCAAAGCTTCCCTACAGATCACATTAGTCAACGGGCTGTGAGATGGGTACTTTCTAAAGCAGCGCTGCCTCTGCCCACCATGTGAATACAGCTCTATAGCTACATTTCACCCCCCAGCTGGATACAGATTTTATTCTGAATGAGTCATCAAAGAGAATGTCAATATCTGCCACATTCAACAGCAGCGTGTCTTATATCCACAACTTATATTTACTCAACACCCAGCATCTTCTAGATTTCGTTTAATGTTATACGTGCGTTTTTCTTCTTCCACTAAATCCTATTTCCTAACCATAAGTCATCACTAACCAAGTTCTCTAGTATCCTACAAGTTCCTGATGTTCCTATTGAATGAATCTTCTATAATGAATCTTCAATAACATGAATATTAATATGAATACAAATAATTTGCATATTCCTCCAGTAAGGACAGAGCAGCACTATTACTCGCAGACACCACAGGCATCGCCGCATCCTCTGCAATGTGTGCTAAAAGTGCAGCTGCAAGCCACTGCAGCTACCTGATAGACGACCAGTGTTCAGCAAACTGATTTACTTCTTCGAATGTTATTTAAAATAAAAAAAATCGACTGTTACAGAAGTGCTACGAAAGCAATTCTGGATTTCCAAACAGACAAAGTAAACGCTCGATGCACCACTATTCTTCTAGTAAGTGAGGACATAAATCGCACAAATACAAGCGCACTGTTCCATACGGTCAGTCTACGGGTGTTTAAATTCAAGTACTATTACTTACAGAATGTTTGTAGATAAAACATTTAGTCTTACCAAAGAGGTGCCCACAACTAAGGCACACGCCACAAGAATCGCGCAGCCGGTTTTCATTTTGGCCACCAGCAGAGGAGGCAGATGTTTGTTATTCACAAACGTGGAGATAATTCCTGCGAGACGTGCTGTCGGTTGCAGCGTTCCGCTGAGCGATGCGAGAGAATATTGCCCCGGTCGGTCTCGCACCCTACTGCAGGTGGACAGGCGCTGTTCAGCTCAGCACCACGGCTCCGCTGGCGGCGTCACAACCGCTACAACTCCTCCTACCGCAGTGCACTACTTAAAGACACACACGGAGACGCACTACAGCACGCCTGACAGTTAAACCGGCACGTATTGTGTACATTCTGCTTATCTGCTTTAGATTAAAATAGCCTGCCGCTGCAGTCAGGTGGCGAATTTTGGAGGAGGGGGTTTATAGGGGGGTCTGACCACCTTATTTAAGGGTTGGGGGGTCTTAAAGACGCGTAGCTATTCTTTGTTGCGTATCATTTTGATATTTTAGCAGCAAAAGTTAGGTTACAAGCTTCCGCTAACTAGCCTATTAGTTAGTTAGTTAGTTAGTTCGCCTGAGGAGTAACCATAGCAACAGTTCGCTGCTCGAGCGCTTTGCGTGAGGAAAACTCGGACAAATCATCTAGAAACAATAAATAAATAAATAAAAAAACACTAATTATTTATCACTTTATTATAGATCATCGCAATTATACCACAAAATGTTGGTGATTTGTTAAATTTGTTTTTAAAATCGTTCAAATACTACAAGCCTGCCGCTGCAGTCAGGTGGCGAATTTTGGAGGAGGGGGTTTATAGGGGGGTCTGACCACCTTATTTAAGGTTTGGGGGGTCTTAAAGACGCGTAGCTATTCTTTGTTGCGTATCATTTTGATATTTTAGCAGCAAAAGTTAGGTTACAAGCTTCCGCTAACTAGCCTATTAGTTAGTTAGTTCGCCTGAAGAGTAACCATAGCAACAGTTCGCTGCTCGAGCGCTTTGCGTGAGGAAAACTCGGACAAATCATCTAGAAACAATAAATAAATAAATAAAAAACACTGTAATTATTTATCACTTTATTATAGATCATCGCAATTATACCACAAAATGTTGGTGATTTGTTAAATTTGTTTTTAAAATCGTTCAAATACTACAAAAAAATTCTAAAGAGTATTTGTTAAAAGTGATCAAAAGTTATTGCATTGTGGAATCTGGCTTATGCCATAGTATGATAATTAATAAATACATCCGCCCTTACGATGTCAGGCAATCAAAACATCTTCAGAATGTTTGGGCAATCAATTATTAAACTAACATGTGACACTAGCAACAACTTTTCTCGTTTGGAAATTTACCATGGCAAAAATTACTAGAAACAAAAATTATAATTAGCTATGTTGGGTGTAATGCATTAAGAAGTAATAATTGCTGTAATTTATTTACTTTTTCCTTGAAAAAGTAAAGTACGGGATTACTCTCAATTTTTCTGTAATTTAATTAGTTACCTCTGATGTAACTGCATACTGCATAGAACAATTATGTACTAAACAATTGTGAATTTAACATCAACATTTGACATCTAATGTTAACATGTTTTTAATGTTACTTTGTCCCTTTAAATAATGTATGCAATTTTATATTATTTATTTAAAAGAATTAAAAGAGCAGTTTCAGTTCAACTGGTTGTGGTTAATATCATATTTAGAAAGTATTAGTAATAAGTAACGTAATACTTTTTAGAGAGAGTAATGAGTACAATAATCTGATTACACTGTCAAAAGCAATCAATTATTAAACTAACATGTGACACTAGCAACAACTTTTCTCGTTTGGAAATTTACCATGGCAAAAATTACTAGAAAAAAAAAAAGATAATTAGCTATGTTGGGTGTAATGCATTAAGAAGTAATAATTGCTGTAATTTATTTACTTTTTCCTTGAAAAAGTAAAGTACGGGATTACTCTCAATTTTTCTGTAATTTAATTAGTTACCTCTGATGTAACTGCATACAACAATTCTGTACTAAACAATTGTGAATTTAACATCAAAATTTGACATCTAATGTTAAAATGTTTTTAATGTTACTTTGTCCCTTTAAATAATGTATTGCAATTTTATATTATTTATTTAAAAGAATTAAAGGAGCAGTTTCAGTTCAACTGGTTGTGGTTAATATCATATTTAGAAAGTATTAGTAATAAGTAACGTAATACTTTTTAGAGAGAGTAATGAGTACAATAATCTGATTACACTGTCAAAGATGTAATTAGTAGCACGTAATCATTACTTTTTTAGAGTAACTTACCCAACAATGATAATTAGCCACCGTTATGAAAAAATAGATTAAACAAAATGAAAGAAAGATTCTAAAAGCTACTCACACAGTTAGAGGATCTGCCATTTGCGATATAATTAAAGTGGAGTTGCAGCAATATTTTTTGTTTGTGGTAACTAAGATTAGAGGAGACCAGGGAGTGTTGAAACCCCATCAGTTGAAGAGTGAAATCATACATTACCAACATTTTACTGGGATGACACTCTATATAAAAAATACAAAGGATTTACAGGGCAAACAACAAATGATTATTAAATAAAATTTCGAGACACAAACCACTGCAAAAAAGTACTGAGTTACAGACGTTTAAACACTCTCCAGTCTTATAATGGTGCTTCTGACCAGAAGTGTAAACTCTTAACTGGCTCTTTCCATGAATAAGATAGGCTGTCCGTAGGCAAAAACTGATCAGGGTTGGAGCTAAACTCTGCAGCGCATTGGACCTCCAGGGTAAGATTTGAGGAACCCTGCCCTACACCATAGGCGTAGCTTGACATTTGAGTTTGGGGAGGCCAAACCGAACCAGTGGATTTGGTCAGACGTACTTTTAAACACATTTTAGTTTTGCTATAGTAAATCTACATATTCACATTCACATAGAGCTGTGGCAAGTGCGTGAGGTTGTCATGGTAACCACATACATTGCCCACGAATTACAGCTGCGCTTCTATTTTGTCACACTAAACTTAGCAATAAACACGTTTAAAATGCACAATAAACATGTCTGTCAAAACGATCTCAAATTAGGTTTTTATTAAGCACATCAAGGAGTGAATTACTCATCCACTGTTTTTAAAACAGACATTCGTTGGGCTTGATTCAAGTTAACGCACAATGAGGCGCACACTTTTTATTTAGTCTTATTGAATAGACGATAAACAGTTTATATTCTAAAATCTATTTAAAGGTTGTGTTCTGTGAAAATTAAATAACATTTGGATGTAAATGGTCGGCATATAAGTAAACCGGCTGCCTCCTGTGAATCACCTTTATCTGATTGTCCGGGTCCGGAATCATTAAGCACGGCATTAATATCTTCATCTGAGTTTTTCATTGTCTCCAGATTTCTCTGCAGTTTGTGTATGTTGTTAAAAACGCGGAACATCATTTTATTCCACACAACAGGCAAGCATTACCGTTAAGTCTATTATCCACCAAAATGCAGATTCATCACGTGACAATTCTTACGCAAATGAGATTGAGGGAGACGTTAAGTTTGTTTTGATTTATTAATTTACTTACAATAACAATTTTAAATGTATTAACTTTTACGTATTCACTTTTACATGTATTATTAACCGCATTATATGCATTTTTACTTCATAGAAAAAACTTAATAAATAAATATTTAGTACAATTCTTAAATCGCTATGGGGGAGCCAGGCCCCCCTGGCCCCCTGCCCCCCCCCCACAAGCTACGCCCATGCCCTACACCAAACCCAACCCTAAACCTACCCGATAGTGTTAACAATCGTAAAACTGATATAAAAACGCATTTGTTGATGCAACCGTGCCATTTGAATTTCCTTATATGCAGATTTGAACTGCTTTGTCAAACCGTGGTTACACGGGATTCGAACCGGAGCTCCTCACCTCTCACGTACGTCTCTGTAATCCGTGAGCTACCGAATAAACATACCACCTATGAAAACCCATAGATATGAAGCTGGATATGTGCGATGCTAACGTTCAAAAGTATCAGTTTTCAAATCTTCCAGCATATTAATATTGCTTTGAAGTCATAACATGATATTCTTCAAGTAATTGTGTGAAAATTAAGCTTTATTAATCAAAACTCTGTACATTTGTGTTCTCTGTAATCCGTGAGCTACCGAATAAACATACCACCTATGAAAACCCATAGATATGAAGCTGGATATGTGCGATGCTAACGTTCAAAAGTATCAGTTTTCAAATCTTCCAGCATATTAATATTGCTTTGAAGTCATAACATGATATTCTTCAAGTAATTGTGTGAAAATTAAGCTTTATTAATCAAAACTCTGTACATTTGTGTGAATAAAAGGTGTCGGAGTTTTACTGCCTCTAGTGTTCATTTATTTTGAAAACTGCAGTGATATGTACATATTGGTACGTATTTCGTGTCTCGCTAAAAAGTGCACCCAGGTACATTTATGCCATGAGACCAGGTAGAATATAGTGCTCCAAGTTATTCATAATGTACTTCCTTGGCGACAGTCTTTTTGCCCAGAATGAAAGTAATCAAAAGGCCGTCGTCCCCATTTTAATGACGCTGACATTTTCTCGCTCATCTGAGTTGGTAGCTCAATTTCCATATCAGAAGGACGATGCCAGTCTGATCCAATCAAAAGAAACATGAGAGAAATGTGAGCGTGCTCTTTTATGCCAATTAGGACAGACCAATTCGTTTACCTGACTTTTTGACATTCTTCTGTGCATACTAAATAGAGGATTGGTTTAAGAGGCTCTTTTGGTACAACTTTATTACTCAGTGAAAATTAAAACAAGAAGTATAATAGGTGCTGATATCAAGCACTCCACCAAATTTGAATGAATTCCCTGCTTCAAGCTGCGAGATATTCTGCATCCACATGATATGCCATGTTTGATTGTAGACACATCTTTACTTGGAGAAAGAATCATTGCGGGATGATCACAAATCTTGGAGGAACCAGAGTTTGTTGACTCTAATTCACAATGTCAAAACCAGTTTTGCCCATTCGCAAACAGACGGGTATCCAGGAAAGTCTTTTTCTCGTCATTTTATTGTTGAGCTGAATATCGGCACAGCAGCATGTGGTGAATAATTCTGAGTTCAGTGGATTGCAGAGCTTGGAGGTACTCTAGTGTATAGGGCTTTTTTAAGGTGTGTAATTTACTCTACTTGAGTACTGAACATTTGCCTAATAAAAACACCATCTGGGCACTTGAAGTGAATTGGTTTAAGGCCGTGTTAAATTATTAAGCAAATCTCACAAATTGGTCCCACTTAACGTTTTTTACAGAAGACGGGAGTTATGGGCCAAACACTGTA